AATTAAGTAACCACGCGTATTGCCCTATGGCGGACTTTAGCCGTTGATTTCATAAGGTACGTCCGTTCACAATGACTTTTTAAGAACTAGCTCCACTTTTCAGATAATTGCTATCGAAATCTTGGAAAGAATGCACTGTCCCGCATTTTGGACGTCTTTCACGTAAATAATATATATATATATATATATATATATATATATATATATATATATATATATATATATATATATATATATATATATATATATATATATATATGTATATATATTTATATATATATAGCGTACGTGTTGCTGTGTTGCTGTTAATGCAATAGCGTTAAAGAGCAGAGCTCATTTCACAGAAATTTCATCGTCGGCGTTGGCGTGGTCACTGCTGGCTGGCTTTAAGGTAACAATCACCGCCTTGTCCGTGACCGAATACTTAAAAAAGATGCAAATACTTTGTGAAAAGAAAAAGTGCTATATAAATTTCAGGTATACTGGCAGAAGTATCTTTTAAGCATCGTACATTACATTGTGTGTTGCGTGGTAAAAGATTGAAATGATGCCAGGCGTGAAACGATGTAAAGTGAGCAACAAGTGCGTGTTTTAAATGCCCACCCATTACAAAATGCTTAAACATATTCCATCGTCTATGGCAATAGAGCCATCAGCAGAGTGAACAGCTGCGCAGGTTCCCGTGTTTCCCTACGGACGCGTATATAGTGGTGCCTGCGCTGATTCGTAAAAGGAATGATTATGACGCAGTGGGCACTTATTACTTTCAATAGCTCTTCAATGGTACAATGAAACGGCCAATGTTACGCGCGCAGGCGTTCCTCTCCTTACGGCATGGTTGAGGAATCTACGGACAACCGAAGCAAGCTTGTAGTTCCGAAGGCGATGTATTCCTACGAGTCCCGATTATACGCTATCGCGATCGCCTCTTGAAAACGAATCTACATCGTCCTCACATATGTGCTAATGTGGTTGAATAATTGGTCATTGCTGTATTTGTAGCTTGACAAGTAGTTTACTAATTATGAAAATGCCGATGGGGTGTATTTATGCATGTTCAAAAGACATCTAAGTGCGCTCTTTCAACGAAGTATTAGTTATGGTGTTATTATTTTTTCCAGCTGACAAAAAAAACTGTGACCTACCACGATGTCCTATTGTTATGGTGCTCGGCTCCTGACCCCCAGGTTGCGAAATCCAATCCCAGCTGCGGCTAGCGCAAATTGTTTAGATGCGTAATTGCTACAGACCCGTGTACTTAGATTGAGGTGCATGTTAAGGAACCCCAGGTGGTAAAAACTTCCGTATGACTCTACTACGGCGTCTCTCATAATCATATGGTGGTTTTGGGACGTTAAACCCCACATATCAATCAATCAAATCCGATTATACGCTATCGCGATCGCCTCTTGAAAACGAATCTACATCGTCCTCACATATGTGCTAATGTGGTTGAATAATTGGTCATTGCTGTATTTGTAGCTTGACAAGTAGTTTACTAATTATGAAAATGCCGATGGGGTGTATTTATGCATGTTCAAAAGACATCTAAGTGCGCTCTTTCAACGAAGATTTAGTTACGGTGTTATTATTTTTTCCAGCTGACAAAAAAAAACTGTGACCTACCACGATGTCCTATTGTTATGGTGCTCGGCTCCTGACCCCCAGGTTGCGAAATCCAATCCCAGCTGCGGCTAGCGCAAATTGTTTAGATGCGTAATTGCTACAGACCCGTGTACTTAGATTGAGGTGCATGTTAAGGAACCCCAGGTGGTAAAAACTTCCGTATGACTCTACTACGGTAATCTTCATAATCATATCATGGTTTGGGGGTTAACTCCTTTATCAATTGTTATTATCAGCGTTATCTACAGCTGCTCGAGGCCTACGGCAGTCAAACCGGTCTGCTGTTTTTCGAGTGCGGAAGCTATCAAAATCAATGCGCTAAATGTACACGTTTCGCAGATCATCGCCGTGTTGCATGCACACGTTATACTACGTCGTGTGGTTAGCAGTTGCCGTGTGGAGTTTTAAGTTAAAGCACCGCACGTAGTAAACGCTATGAATGCAGGTTTTGACGTTGAAGTTGTTACCTCCTTACTACATAGATACTGCGTGAGGAATAATATAAAAAGAGTGTGTTCTACTTTTTTTTACTTCTGAAACCAAGGCGTTCATTGTAGGATGGCTGTCAATTGGGTTGGTTCGTAATGACTTATGGCGAAAAAATATATTAAATTTTCTTTCTTCCACACGTATTCAATGTAGCACCCCAGATTGTCGAAACTGTTGCTAAGCTATCAATCGGTTTATTTAAATATAGTAAAGAACAGAATCGCAACTTCCTGCATGAAGCATAAATGAGACGATGTTCGCGCCGATAGAGCGCCTAAAGGGAGCGGGCTATCCAGATGAAAGTGTCTTCTTGGTTTGTGAAAAGAACTGTCGAGAAACTAAAGAAAGAAAAGAGGCAGCACAAAAGACAGAGACAACCAAGTTGAGGGCAAAGCAGAGTGGAAAGTGGTTGTCCCTTACTTGCATAAGATCTCACTTAAACAGAAAATAGTTGCGTCATGTTATGATGAAGTGCGGGATGCATTTTCAGTCAAGAACATATTGGCGAAGATTTTCCCGGTGATCCGAAGGTTGGTTGCAAAGAAATTCACAGAAAAAATTATGGATGTGACATTAAACATGACAGAAGGTTTGTTCAGTGCAAAAAAGATGTCTCGTATGGTGTTTCTTTCACATCTGCAAAGAAATACATTGGCTAGACGGGCCACTGCCTTAACATGCTTCCTGAAACAGTGAACGACGAGCGCAATAACTGAAGCCTTTTGAATTAAGAAGGCAGGAGATCGGTGTGTCAGCCAGGCTTTCTTACTATCATCAGATGCCGAATTACGTTTCTTCGGATGAAACGCAACAAAGTGTCTTTCTTGTTATTAATAAAGGAAAGTGTAAATTTAAGGGCAAATTTTTCCTGTTGGACACAATATCAACGAAAACTCACAGACAATAATGCCAGGGAAAGAACAGAGGAAGTTACTAGGAGTAATTGTAACGTGAATGTAAAGAAAGAAAAGTGAACGAAAATATAGTTTGCCGCCGCCAGGATTGGCAGCATCGGCGGAGTGATTTAGCACGTGCTTCGCAGATGTATTCCACCTTTATTTCTCTATTGTATATATTGTACCCTGTGTTTAGCTGATAACCTTGTCTTATAGGGACGTGGACATGTGGGATGCATATGGGAACGTCCTTTCCCCACTGAAAATTTTGAGTTGCTTGTAAGCCCTCTGTCCTGTGTTTTTTTTTTTTTTGTAAGTCTTCGTGAAAAAGGCGCTTTTTTCATGATTGAGACATTAAATGGTCTCCTAATTCTGTGAGTGGGGTGTGGCGTCCAACTGCTCATATTCATTTGCAACATGCATTACGATAAGCCATCACAAAAATCCATAACTGGTTAATTATGCTTTTAATAATCAGCATGTGATGCAAAAATATAACAAACGTGATACTGATATCTTATTTGCCGAAATATTTGATTGCGTTTTTATATTTACACGTCGTGACTTTGTCCATCATTGTCAACAAAGTGCTGAAGACTTTATTGTTCAGAAATATTGGAATCGAAGTGAAAGCTACTGTTTCATGTTCGTGAATAGTGAAGCAGGTATACTTTTAATGGACATGTTTTGTGCATCGGAGGCCTTTGCGATCCACTTGGGATGCTTAGCAGTTGTTGTGGGCGCCCCGGCGCTGTTACTGTGATCGTGTTCAGCGTCTGCAGAACGTACTTTAGAGTCCGTGCAAATATGCCTCATTGCGCACTGTGCGTAATCTATTTGGAATCCGGTTTCTTGCTAACACCTGCTATGTTTGCAAGTTTCGTGCAAGGAATGGTCACATTCATTATCATTTATAGTCGTATAGAGTTTTCCTCGGGCTTGACAGTGATGACATAACAGTTTACGGTATGTAACGTTGCGCATACAATCGGACGAACACAGGAAGAAAAGAAATGCAAACGGAAAGAGTGCCCTGCCAAACATTCTTCCTAAAAGACATTACAATATTTAAGTTACTGTTTGTTGCCAAGAATATTGCAGTGAATTACATCGAGCAGTGGTTAGTAAAGTATTTCTTAATACCTCCCTAAATATCGTTGGCTGAAGCATTAATTACGACATATAAAATTGAACAAACAAGGGAAAAAAATGGCAAGGACATGTTATTCTGTGTTAGAAGCCTGGGGGCTGGGAAGTTGAACAATCTTCTCTAAAAGTTTAACGTAGATGTGCCATAAATGATAGGGAGTTTTAGAATACCATTTGCAAGCGCTGCGAGCATTGCGAGCGTAGCGGGCGCCATATGAGTTTTAGAATAGCGTTTGCCCGGCTGCGATCCTCAACGCACAATCACAGCGACACCGTAGCCTCGAAACCAGCGCTTGCGTGCCACATGCGGGCCGCCATCACCACCCGTAGCCTCGAAAACAGCTCTTGCGGGCCACATGCGGACCGCCATTACCGCACGCAATTTCGGATTTTTTGCGTGCGGTCCGCAAACGCGAACGCCGACTTGCGTACGACGCATGCGCAGTGGCAGCGACTGCACCGCAAGGGCTCGCGGTGCGCTATTCTAAAACTCCCTAATGTGTACATGAATTGTTGCATGAATGGCGATCTTTTGGTAAAGTGATGTCAAAGTATTCGCTGTACTTTCCAAAATAATGCGAATGTAATATCAGCACTTTCGTCCAGTTGTAGTATGAAGTATAATTTATTTATATTGAAGAATATTTTGGCAGAACACCTAGTAATATAATTTAATCCCTGTTTTAGAGTAAGTTTTCCAACTGTGGCTCCTGCCATCAGCTAGCGCGTTTGAGCAGCCTTTTTCCAGTGAACGCCATTCGCGTTACTCGCTGTCGTTTTGTTCTTGCGTATTGCGAAAATCTTTTGCGTGTTGACTAACGAGTGTACTTGTGTTCGCAGGTCGGTACTGCGGCACGGGACACATCCCGGAGATGCTGCTGAGCACAGGGTACCGCATGCTTATCGTCTACCGGACCTCGACCAACCAGAATGGTCACGTTGGCTTCAGGGCTTACTACGAAGGTACCTGTACTGCTACTGCGAATACTTAAAGAAACTTGTATACTCCAGGAGCACATTTCACAGAAAGGCTCGCTTGTGTAGAACGAGTGGCAAACACAGCCAAGTGACAAGTCGAAACTGTCCTTTCAGGTTACCGCTTACGCGGTATGACTCACTGACCACGTTCTTTCATTGCGTGTTTTGTACTTAGCTTACGATGTACTTCGTCATAAGAATTTCTCAACCTTTTACCTTTGTCTATTTTTACATTGGTATGACAATCCTCCATAGTGCTTAATTGGACGTGATAACCGTAACGTGATTGTTCTTGGTCCCAGGTATTGCTTTTTTAATATATACAGCCGAGGTTTTTTAAAGATGCTTCAAATATCTCGTATATAGGTACATTATCCCGAACAAAGTGAAACGATGAAAGTTAAGCTTTCGCGTCCCATCTGCAGATGGTTTCTTGTGCAGACCTGTCGTGCTGACAAAGAACAGTTTCAGGCTCTTATCACCAGGGGCATCTATAGAACGAGTTGTTATTTTGGGCCTTCCAACACTTTATAAATATTTTACTAAATGGCTATGTCAATCGTTGTGTGCAGCATTGCCCTAATCAATTGCCTCCACCCGTTCAATGCAAACATGTGTCTTAATGTCACCAAAATAGCGCATTGGCTAGCTCAACCCTGTTTCTTTTTTTTGCGTTTCATTTCTCTTCCATATATGTATCTGGGGTTTTCGTTGTTAAGGATTCCTGCACTGAATGTTGGTCTGGCGAAACAGTGTAGGGCCAGGTTCATCAGCTCACTCTTTAAGACAGCTCTTTTCATTTTACTGCGTGCTTAGTAAAGAAAATTGAAATGAAAACTAGCTTAAAAATTCCATAATTGCATGCGGGTTTTCTGCCTGATGTAATTCAGCGAAGTTTTTTTAGAAACAGCACACTTGGCGCAACATGCGCTGTTTTGCAGATACACAAAATGACAGGGCTGTATTCACGAAACTCTTTATTCTCTAGTGCGGCTTGTTATCGATCGGCTTCCTTTGCTAATAATACGTGTCGAATACGTTCCTTTAAAACATAATAATACTACGTTCCTTTAAAAACAAACAAAAAGTTCTTTCTGCCGCGCATAAACTAAAGGGTACCGACTTTTTGATTGGCGAGGACTTCTTGCCATCTACACGATATTGTAGGAAAAAATTATTTGAATTCGCCAAACGCTTAAAGAAGCCAATAAAGTTGTCAGTGGACAAACTGCGCATTGATAACGAGACCTACATGTATGATCACGCAACGAATTGCGTTGTACTTCACAAAACATAGCAAAGAAATCATGCACACGCAACGGAACCTAAGTCTTCAGATTATTATAACAAGTCACCTTTCATGCAGTTATGTTTTACTAACGTACGCAGCCTTATACCCAAACGCGATCAGCTTTGCTCGTTCTTAAAAGATAATAACCCTGACATTTTAGCAATAACAGAGACTTGGCTTCATTCTGATATACCCGATCACGAGCTTCTCCCTGATAACAGCGCCTACAACATATTTAGGCATGACCGCGATAAAAAAAGAGGCGGTGGCGTTCTACTAGCTATTAAAAAAACACTGTCATCCTTTTGCGTCAATATAGACTCCACTATTGAAATTGTATGGACTGCATGCATCACATCAGCAACAAAAATATTGATAGGTGTCTGCTATCGCCCTCCCGACTCAGATATCTCGTTTGTAGAAGAGCTGCGCAAAAGCATTGATTCCGCAACTCGGCAATGCTCTCCTGATAATATATACTTACTCGGCGACTTTAATTTTCCCCAGTATGATTGGTCTCTCCTAACTTCTACCTGCCACAAAGCAATGGAATTTGTAAGTCTAACCCTAGATTATAACCTGTTTCAAGTTGTCAAGGAACCGACTCGTGGTACAAACATTCTAGACTTAATTTTAACTAACGCTCATGAGACTGCAAGTTCTATTCTGCTCGTAAATGGTTTCAGTGACCATAAGCTACTTCAAATAACACTTAGCCTCCCAACCTGCCCCGCCGCGGTGGTCTAGTGGCTAAGGTACTCGGCTGCTGACCCGCAGGTCGCGGGTTCGATTCCCGGCTGCGGTGGCTGCATTTCCGATGGAGGCGGAAATGTTGTAGGCCCGTGTACTCAGATTTGGGTGCACGTTAAAGAACCCCAGGTGGTCAAAATTTCCGGAGCCCTCCACTACGGCGTCTCTCATAATCAAATGGTGGTTTTGGGACGTTAAACCCCACATATCAATCATTAGCCTCCCAACCTACGTATTACACAGCACTGTTAAAAAAATTCGGGACTATAACACAGGTAATTACGAAGATATAAATGATGAATTGGAAGCTTTTTACGATCAGGTTTTTCTTTCATCTTTCCCGTACCGATCAGTCAACGAAAACTGGATTCTCTTCAAAAACAAAATCATTACTTTGGTTGATAAATATATTCCCCTAAATTCTATCTCTAACGACAATAAAAATCCCTGGTTTAACAAAACGCTTAAGTCTCATAGATCAAGGAAGAAGCGGCTCTACAAAATTGCAAAACGCACTTCCAGCCCTTCAGATTGGGAAAAGTACAAGGGTTCTTTGAAAGAATACTGCTCTCTTGTAAGCAAAGCGAAATCTAAATATTGTACACACGATTTGCCTTCTATGTTAAATACTAATCCGAAAAAATTCTGGCAAGTAATTTCCCCTCACAATGCTACCACATCTGTCAGTATACAAGATGCTAACCATATGCCTCTATCAGATGTAGACAGCGCTTCAGTGTTGAACTCATTTTTTCATCTGTGTTCACGTGTGAAGATCATTCCAGAATGCCAGAAGTTCCCGAGTTTGATTATACATTCATGGAACCTATTGCCGTCAGCACTGAAGAGATTGCGAATCTTATTGGAAAACTTAAATTATCAACTTCTTCAGGCATTGACAACATTAATTCTAAGGTGCTCAAAAACACGTCATTATGCTCAAGTAAAATCCTGTACCACATCTTCACGCAATCTTTATCAACAGGACAACTTCCGGCTGATTGGAAAATAGGTAAAGTAGTTCTCTTATTTAAAAGTGGCAATAGATACTCACCAGAAAATTATCCCCCATATCACTAACATGCATTTGCTGCAAGATGCTTGAGCATATTGTTTCTTCGCACATTTATTGTCATTTAGAAACCAATAACTTCTTTTTTGAGAATCAGCATGAATTTAGGCGAGGTTTTTCTTGCGACACCCAATTACTGGAATTTACCACTGATCTTCACTTCAATATGGATAATAATTTACAAACTGACTGCATTTTCCTAGATTTCTCTAAAGCATTCGACCGCGTACCTCATTCCCGTCTGATTTCAAAATTAACAGAACTTCGTTTAGATTCGCTAACCTTATCGTGGATCCGTAACTTTTTGTCTTTTCGAAAGCAGTTTACTGTGGTTAATACCTCTTCCTCCCCAATTGCCGATGTCACCTCCGGAGTGCCTCAGGGTAGCGTCTTGGGGCCACTACTTTTTCTAATCTACAATAATGATCTTTCAACTAATATTTCTTCATCAATACGGCTTTTTGCTGACGATTGCATTCCATACCGTTCTATAACTAGTACCGATGACCACCTTGATCTCCAAAAACACCCTAATCTCAATAACAACTGGTGTGGTGCATAGTGAAAGACTTTAAATTTATTAAAATGTAATGTAATATCCTTTGGTCGAACAAAATTAACTGTTGAATTTGATTACTCCGTAAATTATTCCAACGTGTCACGGTCGTCTTCGTATAAGTACCTCGGCGTTCATTTCACTTCTAATCTTACTTGGGCGGCACATGTAACCTACATATCTGCAAACGCATCAAGAACACTGGGATACTTACGTCGGAACCAACGAAACGCGCCAAATAACGTCCGCAAACAAGCTTACTTAACCTTTGTTCGCCCACAGCTGGAATTTGCATCACCCATATGGTCCCCCTTCTAAGCCTATCTCATTAACCAGCTAGAAGCTGTGCAAAACAGGGCGGCACAGTTCATTTCACGTATTTGCAGTCGCCCCTCGAGCGTCACACAAATAAAACATGACCTTTCGTTACAGCATCTAGACATACGGCACACAGTTGCCCTCCTGTCTTTGCTTCATAAATATATTCACGCGTCCAGGCCACCACCCTTCCCACTAACGGCATCATTGCGCATGTAAAAACCACTTCACAATAAGCGAAGCATCACACGCATCTTTGGAAAAACAAAATCATTCAATTCATCGGCTTTGCCTCGTGCCATAGCACTCTGGAATGACCTACCCGACGTCATTGTCAATTTAACTAATCATGAAAAGTTTCGCGAGCAATCAATGATACATCTCTCTCAATAGCATTGTATAGCCTCCTTGAATTCTGTTTTTGTTCTTTGTGCTTTTTTGCGGCTGGGACATTCTTGTTGTTGCTTGAAGCCCCTCTTTGACATTTGTGCAACCACTGTTATTAGTTCCAATGTTATTAAGTGCTTTGTATTTTTATTATGTATTAGTTGCTCTGTAGTTGCTTTGCTTTGTAGTTGCTTTGTATGGTGACAGAGGTATCACCCACTAGCATTCTTTCCTATGTACCCCCCTTACTCTATGCTCCGTTATAGAGCCTGTAAGGTATTTTAAAATAAATAAATAAATAAATAAATAAATGTCGTGAGTTACTCTCACTTGCTCTTTTAAACAGTCCTAGCATGTGTTCTTTTTTATTGTGATAGCAAATATATGGGCACTCTCGGCTTTATTTCGCCACCGGCGTCAGCGTCAATGTCATCCACCGTGTATGTATACGTATCTATATATATGAAAACGCAATAAATAAATTATGATCCCATATCTGCATGTTACACTGCAAATGTCGTCAAAAGACGATAATCTTGCCTCTGAAGAGAGTGAAGAAAACGTTCATTTGATATTCTGCGCAAGAAAATCGGTGAATGGTATTTTGAAGA